AAATTCAGTTTAAATATATATTTTTAGCTTTATTCTGGGAAACTTATTTCTTGAAAAAAAATTTTTTCGGTACCTAGAATGGTTATAGCATAGTTGCTTTACATGAGTTCACATTTTGTACAGGCCTAACATTGAATTCTGTGGTTATAATGTACCACATCCGCTGGAAGACAAAATAGTTGTGAGAGTGCAGACGAAAAAAAACATACCTGCAGCAAAGGTCTTTATTGAAGCTTTAGAGCATTTGCAAACTGTATTCAGCGGGATACGTTCGAAGTTTGAAACTGCATCTGAAGAATACCACTCAACTAATTAAATGGTATTGGTCGTTTAATCTTACTTTTTTCTTTCTGTTCTGTATAAATCTTTTTTCTGGTGACTGTGGCTTTAGCTTGAAAGTAGTTTTGTAAATATAAACTAAGTACAACTTGTATCGTTTCTAAACTACAATTTTCTTTTTTCTTGTTTCCTTTCTTTTGGCCATTTGATAAAACCGGAATGAGACTTGGTAGGGGAAGTTACGAATGCTTAGTGCACTGAAGAACGGCTCTATGGTACTGCTCAACGATAGTTCATCAGTTCTAGTTTTCGGCTGAAATGCTTTACATAGTCCAGAATACGGCTTTAAAAAAATGGAGTTCATGAAGCTACTCTGCAATTCACTGTGATATAGGCAGATTCATTCCCTCTTCCTGATTTCATTGTTAGTTGTCTTTTAAATTGTAAGATGAATGTTCGTTTACCTTTGAAGAAGAATATTCAATAAACTTTGTGGTCCGTTCACTTCCGACTTTCTTCCTTCGACTTAGATGTTTTCTCGGGTGGTAAAATAAAGACTCTGTTTTGAGATTGTATTCTTGTAACGCTTAGAACTAATCCTGGCATACGTAAAATGTCTGCTACGTTGATGAGCTGGTCAATCGCAGCATGGGCGATTTTTACGATTAATTTTGTAATTTTCTTCTGTTTTTTTCTATTTTTGCTGTGTTGCTCAGTATTTTATAAAGTTTTGAAGGATAATTGTTTCTGGTGGCTTTTAATTCCTTTTGGACGGGTTTACTCTATCCTGGTCAACTTTTTTTTTTTTTGTTGTTGTTGTTTTCGAAGTGTCGGTTTTTTTACAGAGTGCTCCGTAATGCACGTAAGCAAGAAGACAGCATATTGCTTTATACTGTTAGTTTTGCCTGAGATTGAGTGGTTGAGTGTCACCCGAAAGTCAGTAATATTGTTATTGCGTTTTAATTATCTTGTGACTTACGGTTTCGGACTTCAGCTGTGCTTCACTTATGCTTTTTGAAAGAACGGTCAATTTATTACATTTAATTAAATTTGTTAAGAAAGAAGGCGTGTTATGCAGTTTGTTATTTTAGAGGTCAATGGATAACGTAAATACTGAAGTTAAAGCTGAGGGTGATGATGAGTGGGAAGAGGTTACAATGGTGATGGAGCTGAATGGGGTTTTGGATACAACTTCAACTAGAATGGCAATCCAAAATGGGAACTGCGCAGTAAGGCACGTAACCTCCGAGACCCCACTTGTGCAAATTGGGAATTCAATATATTCTGGGCAGTGGTTATCAACAGTTGGTACCGACTTAATATTTGAACAGAAAGGCAATCGACTTCAATTTTGTGCTGTTTCTGAAACTCAGCTATCGGCCGTGAAAGCCCTCGTCACTACGGAGGCAGATGCGCAGACAACTAATTGACATTTACGAGGAGTTTTCTAAAAGTTAATGGTTGTTACAATTTTCGTGCTACATGTCTTTGTCCTGTAAATATGACACTTGATTTTACCATTTCTTTCAACCACTAAACACATAAAACATATTTTGAAGTTCAAAATAAATTATGAAGACGTCATTGGCTGCGTTTTGGCACTTTTGAAAATTAAACAATGTATTAGTATTTGAAGGAGTGAAAGCTGGTAAAATCTGAGTTCTAAAGGACTGTCAGAAATGGTGCTAGCTTGTTAGGCCGTTACGTTTTCGTGGTCAGGTTTGAAAAGTGAGTTGATAGCTCTTACACTTGGTGGCAACCAAATGGTTTGGTAAGAGCGTTTGTAACTGTTTCGTGCTGCATTGTTCAGAATTTTTAGTAGCACTGAAATAGGAGTTGCAGTTAGAGTCGGCAGACTAGGATTTATTGTTTCCCGTCATGCTCGATCATAGAGTTTGTGCCTGGACGAATATGTGACGAAAGACAAGGAAAAGAGTGGATCAGTTTGTATGATGCAAGGGTATCACTTATGGCTATAAGTTGCTGATTAGCGACGATAATCGTACGTTACTTATCACTACTATATTTCTTTCCGACCGATCCTCATAAGAAACAGGTTGTGTCGCTCTGAGGATAAAATACAACAGTGCTTGACTGGATTGCACCTCTCAAAATTCCACTTTTTCCCGTAGAAGACTTGATTTTATGATTGCTTCCCATTAAGAACTCGCGTGTGTATCGAACTCATTCTTTATTCCTCCAAAGAAATTTCTCGCAGACCTCTTCTACTTACTGAAAGTCTCATGTTGACAAAACATCTCTTTGTTTACATGCTCTTTACTTCTGCATCACTAGCAAATGGGTAATGCTTCCTTTTGACCTCTTTCGTTCACTTTAGGATTTAAAAACAGCAGATGGGGAAAACAGTGCAAATGGTAAGCGCACTTAGTGATCCAAAGTGCCCTTGCGTTACTTGTATTATGAGTGCGATGCTGTCTTAACTAAGTGGGACAAAAGGTAATTCGGTAGTATGCGGAAAGTGCAACATATGACAGTCATATAAAGCAGTTCTTGCAGAATGAACAAAAACAGCACTTTATGCCACAGTAAGCAGCAGAACTGTCAATAAACCAGGAAAAATTATCGAAAACTAAACTTTGCAAATTCATAAAAGAGTCAATTAGAGTCCACAGAAACTGTGCTGACGGAATCTAAGCCGTTAAATCCCGTGAATACGAAAGCCGGAGGTAGGCACCGATAGAGAAGAAAATCATATTTTTTTTGTCTGAATGTAAAGTACAGTAACATCAGGAATTCTTCGTTCAGCTAACTTTTGCCCATCATAGTTCATCTACATTTGTTGCTCCGCAAATATCTGTCGGGTACTTTAAAATTATAGAGATTCTGCCCGACCACGAGACTAAAGTTTTTGACTTCAGTGGTAGTATTCAAACTGAAATTGCTATTAGTGTTAATTCATGCATTGGTCAGGCAGGTACTTCCTCTACCATTTTTTCACCTTGTGCTTCAGATTCCTCAGAGGGTTCGCTTTATAAGAACCACTTGTGTACCTTAAGAATTAAATGGTACTACTGTTAGAGACACCAAATGAAACCTAAATAAATCTAAAATATGTAGACGTGCATTCTAAATGGTGCTCGAATTTCA